TTTTTTTTTTTTTTTTTTTTTTGAGACAGAGTCTTGTTCTGTTGCCAGGCGCCAGGCTGGAGTGCAGTGGTGCAATCTCGGCTCACTGCAACCTCCCCCTCCCAGGTTCAAACAATTCTCCTGCCTCAGCCTCCTGAGTAGCTGGGACTACAGGCATCTGCCACCACGCCCTGCTAATTTTTGTATTTTAGTAGAGATAGGGTTTCACCATGTTGACCAGGATGGTCTCCATCTCTTGATCTCATGATCCGCTCACCTCGGCCCCCCAAAGTGCTGGGATTACAGGCATGAGCCACCGCGCCCAGCCTGCTTCATATTTTTCACAATTAAAAAAAAAAAAAACACACCTGGAATAGGCCTTTCTATCTATTGAAAATAGCCTTTTCATATTTACGATTAAAAGGAAAATTATTTGGTGAAAGGTTTTTGGCAATTTAATAACCCTTGACACGAACTGCAAAGCTGCTTTCCAAAAGGAATGTCCTAATCACAATACAGGAGAATCAGTTTGCTTTATTTTACACTTACTTCTACTGGGTTATTATCATTAAACCTTTAATTTTGCTATTTGAGAAACATATAAGCATGTCTTAGAAGTCATATCTCCTTAAAAAGAAAAAAAAAATTCCTATCTCCTTACCAACAAGTACAAGATAATACTGCCTTTGTAGAATGACTTAAGAGTGTACTAGGGAATTTCATTTCCGCTTAATCCATATCCTGTAAGTCGTCATTATTTCTATGAGGTGGGAACCTAAATTTCAGAAAAGTGGTTTGTTCAAAGTCATACATCTACTAGGTAAAATGTTTAAAAGAAGAATGGACTCTGGCGCCAGCTTTGTGCTTGTGAATCTTATTCCACAGCTCTGTAACCGTTGGGAAGTATTCGAACCCTGCAGCCCTCGATTTCCTCATGTATGAAATAGGGATAACAGTACCTACCTAAAAAGGATATTGTGACTATTAAATGAGTTATTCTATGTATTCTAGTGCACGAAAGCACTTAGCGTAGTATTTGCCACATAAGTGCTATCTAAATGTTAACCGCTGTTATCATTCAGATGGTGGCAAACTACGTGTTTTTAAGGGAGCTTAATTTTGTCGCATGTCTACACCAACTGTGTGATCCATGTTTTTACCGGGTACTATCATTTAACCTTCCCAATTCTTTAAGACAGAATTTTACGTTCATTTCTGCCCATTTTAGAGCTAAGGAATAGGAAGTTCCGGGAAGTAAAAAGTAGTGAAATCTCAATCTGCAGGTGACTAAAGCTAGGAGAAGTTAAGTCACTTGACCCAGCGGCAAAGACTGGGACTCGAACCCGGGTCTGATCCCAAAGCCGGCGCTTTAGAGGGCTACGACGATTTAAACAGAAACACCTCCAGAGACCAAGCGGCTGTATTAACGGGAAGCTTAGGTGTTCCTGCACCTCTGTCCCAGCATTTTAATGTCGCCGCATTGTCTTTGTCTCTTTTTGAGCAGTTTTACAAGTCTCTGGCCCGAAAACCCCCTGTCCCTCTCCATCCCCACAGCGGACTCCTCAGGTCCTCAGCCCTCACCTGACCGGGTCGAGACCCGGACCTGACCATCTCTCGCAGCCTCAGAGAAGCCCAGATCGAGGGAAGTGAAGCCTCACGGTAGAAAGAATTAACCGCCTTGGGCTCCCGGACCTTCTTGGCCCGCCCCCCGAGCTTCCGCTTCCGGAAAGGATCCCGCCCAACGCCGCGCTTCCTAGTCTCGGATGCCACTCCACCGCCTTTCTCCTGCTCCAGGACCCGCGACTTGGGCGTGCGCAATAGATCCCTCCCGGCTTCCCGGCTCGTCGCCCGCCGGCAGACGGTGAGAGAAGCCAATAGACGGCGAACGGGGCGGGGCCGAGGCATGGCTAGGGCGGGGCCGGGGCGGGGCCGCCGAGAAAAGGGTTGAGCGGTGCGGTTCTAGGGCTTGCGGTGGGGGAAACCGGGAGGAGGACCCGCGAGCGTCCGACGAAGGGACAGGGGTAGGAGGTGGATAGGTTTCAGAAGGCATTGCGCACAACTTTTTGGGTTTTCGCTCTTTATGTTTAGTTTGGCATTTCGTGTGCCTTTGGATGATTTTGTTCTTGATACTTATAAAAATAAGACCCCCGGGTTATCTTTCCGTAAGTATGATGGCAATTTCAGAATTATTCCCTGTGGCCACTGATCTCAGAACGGTGTCGTTAGTTGAGATTTTGGGTTTACTTCCATGCGTACGTGTCTCCTCTTGCGTTGAGGCAGTTACTTTTGATGAAGAATGACACAGCATTCCTAGCATTGCATGCTGCACTCATTTTAATGGGGATTTTAGTCATTGGTTTTTAAGGCATTAGGTTTTGGGTTAATGATTTAAATCAAGTTGAAGAGAGATAACTCAGTTGATTCCATTTCAACTGTTGTCCAGGCTGGAGTGCAGTGGCACGACCTCAGCTCACTGCAACCTCTGCCTCCCAGGTTCCAGCGATTCTCCTGCCTCAGCCTCCTGAGGAGCTGGGATTACAGGTTTGTGCCACCACGCGCAGCTAATTTTTGCAATTTTAGCGGGGTTTCACCATGTTGGCCAGGCTGGTCTCCAACTCCTGACCTCAGGTAATCCGCCCACCTTGGTCTCCCAATATTCGGGGATTACAGGAGTGAGCCACCACGCCCGGCCTCATTTTGTTTTAATAGAGAAAAGAGCTACCCTTTAAAAGTCTGTTACATTTAATGTCAAAACCCAGGAACTAAAATATGTCCACCAATATGTCACACACTTATCCTGAGTGATTTTAGGAAACTTGAGTATTTCACAGATTTAGTTTTGAATTAGATCAAACTGTGAAAACCTCTCCTTTCCTTCCCCAGCCCTCTCCTAACTTCATAACTTTCTAACATATTCACCCAAAATTAAGGACTTTTCTTTCGGTTGATTTTTTAAAATTCGTATTGATTTTTCTTAATACATGTGTATTTTAGAAAATATGGATAAGGAAAAACGAAAAGACCTCATTACCCCTGAGTTATCACTCTGAACAGCTTGATGCGTTCCCTTCAAGATTTTTTCCACCTATGCATATATTATAAATGTATTACAACGATATGAAATAATAGATATTACTGTAATATGAGTGTTTTAATATCTAATCAACATTGTTTCTCATTAATCTACAATTATATAATGGCTGGCTGGTGTTCCATGATTCATTTCCCTAGTGTTGAAAATGCTATGCCCCCACCGTCTTTTTCATCTTGTATTTGCTATTATAAATTATGTTGCACTGAGCTGAGATCTGCAAATTAACTAGATAGAGAGGGGAGAGCAGAGTATTCTAAAGATGTGGAGACAGCATGATGTTGAGAAAGGGAAACCCAAAGAGGCTCTTGCTGCTGACATATAGACAGTGGGGATGGAAATGAATGTAGGGGCCAGGCTATGTAGTCCTCATAGGCTACATGATTTGCGTTGTTATCCTAAGCCCATTGGGAATATGTAAAAGTTCAAGCAGGGGGCACAGTGAACTGACTGGTGTTTTACAAAGATCCATGGCTGTAGTGTACAGCAGGAATCCGAAATCTACAGTCCCTGGCTAAATTCTGTCTGCCATTCTTTGATACAGCCTGAGAACAGTTTTTACATTTTCAAGTAGTTTTTTTAAGTCAAAAGAATAATATTTTCTGATGTGAAAAAAAAGATGAAAATCATCTCAATGTTATAAAGTTTTATTGGAACACAGTCACACTAATGTGTTTGCACATTGTCTATGCTACAACTGCTAAAGTTGAGTATTTGTGATAGAGACCGTCTAGCCTGCCAAGGCTAACTAACATATATACTATCTGGGCCTTTACAGAAAACATTTGCTGATCCCTTGCATAGAGGGTGCTTGGGGGAAAGGCAAGCATGGGTGTGAGCAAGTTCTCTCCTCCCGCATCCATTTTCTGCCCTTCTCTGTGCCCCAGGGTCTGACATCACTCAGACATGCCCTCCAGCTTCAGGTTCTGTTTAGTCAATAGAAGAGGGAGAGAATGGGATACTTCTATCTCAGCACATTTGGCTGATCCATTGGCCCTCTGCATCCTTAGGGGAGCCCCTGGAGTTCCAGTTCCCTCACACTCTAATAAAACGTCCTTCCCTTTGTCCCTCCAGTCTTAGGGATGATAATGGTTTGCTAGTCCTTGGGTGCCTCAACCTCCTTGTTGTTTTCCTTGCCCATTCTGTAAACCTTTTAATTATCTTCAAAATCTATTTTGTCTTCTGTTTCCTATGAGTACCAGACTGATAGGAAGTCCAGATGAAATATATTGGTAGCTGGGAAGGGATGAGGGGCTCTAAGGGAGGTGGCGGTGAGGAAATATGAAGAGAACGTATTTGAGAGATGCATAGGAGGTAAAATGGAGAGGACTTGCTAACAGAGTTGGAAAGTAAGACAAAGGGGAGGTATCTGTTGACCCTGGTTTCTGGGTTTTGTATCTTGGTGGGTGGTGGGAGAGATCCACATTTAGGAAGAAAACTTGTGAACTCATTTCTCGCCAACATTTCATTTTAAAAAAAATGCAAACCAGGAAAGTCATTTTTTGATATGTTAAATTAGGGAGTACTTTGGAGTCATCCAAAGAAAGTTAGCTACTGGGTAGTTGAGTCTGCAGCTTGGCAAAGACGTGTGGGCTGCAGATACATCTTTCTGAGTTATCTGCGGCTTCAGAAGTTGTTCTCATATTACTTCCTCAGGAAAACCACTCTATCCTGCCCCTGCAAACTAGCTGTGTGCTCCAAACTACTATGTAGTAGCGTCATTCCTCACAGTTAAAAACTTCTGATTAGTTATGTAATGTCTGTCTTGCTAAGTAGAATTTAATCTCTATGAAAGCAGGGACCTCACCTTGTTCAGAGCAGTGTCCCCAGTGCGTAGCCCAATCCCTTGCACATGGTAGGAATTTCTTAATTATTTGTTGAAAAAATCAGTGAATCAACCATTGTTTAGACTGCTTTGGTGCATTGGGCTGACAGCTACTTGAATGTCTGAAGCTCAGGATTATCCAGGACTAGCCCTTTGAGCCTGGTCTGGAGGTTTAGTCCCTCTAGTATCATGGATACACAACTCTGCTTATCTATCTAGTCTCATAATTCAGCACATTGGACCAATGACTTTGCCAATTGGCTCGCCTCTGAAGTGTGAAAGTCTCCATTCAGGTTTGACCATGTTCCAGTTTATAGGAAATGACCAAAGTTGAAAGTATAGGAAGATCTAAACTAAAAACACAGATTTATGGCCAGGATCTAAAAGGGGAGGTATTCAAAAAGTAAGATTCAAAAAGTAAGAGGCTGTGGATAAGAAGCCACATGTTGGGAGCATGAGCTCAGTTCTGCTTGGAAAGATCTGAGGGCCTGTGCTGTTGCCTTTCCCCAAGCCACGTAGTGTTCTTTGGGGCTATTTTGAACCTAGAGATTCTTGGCCTTTTGAGATAATATACAACTTTGAGAAACTGCTCAAAGCTTTATAATTTTTTCTTCAGAAAAATGCTAACGAGCACATTTTGGAAACATATATATATATATATGTTATCAGAGGCGTTCAGGAGCCTCTCCAAGGATTTCAGGTTAAGATTCCTATTCTAACCTAATTTGAAACCAGCCTTCCACACTGGGGTGTCCAGCTCCTTCTGTTGCAGGGCCCTGGTGATCCTGGAAGTTGTCAGTTAACTAGGGATGGTAGGTCCCTGGTGGAAGAGCATCAAGGAGAGGAAGGGCATGGAGCATAGACAAAATGGAATTGAGACATAATCTTTGCATTTCCCACTGAAACTTATGTATCTGCAGTCTTCACTTTAATCAAAATAGCTTAATTTAGGAAAGAAAGAGCCCACTGTTTTTGCTTTATAAAATCCTGATTTTATTGCTTCCTGAAAAATTTTTTAAAGGCGAAATACAAACCATATGTTACAAGGGCCTTCATTTGACAGTTTAACTGGGGTCACTCTAGGACTCTGTATATATTGCTGATTATGATAGGAAAGCCAGTGGGATGGGTCTGACAAGGATCTGTTGGCAGCAAGGATCAAGAGATCCCCTTTGGAATGATCTTATCACAAGGAAAAAATATTTGGGGACAATGTGCCATGTTTGTGGGTCAGGTGTGGATTTTAATACAGCACAATGACAGTCACTTACTGCCCCGCAGACCCTGAAGACTTGTGCTTGACCCAAAGAGAAACATTAACAGTAATTAAAATGTTAAAATTTTGTTTTATTAAAATATCTGTAAGGCAGTGTAGCAGATAAGGGTAGCTTCTTATGTTACCATCTATGACTTCCTGCCTTTTTTTCTGGAGCAAAAGGAGCAAGCTGAGGCAAGATGGAAAGGCAGAACATTAATGCCCCTGGAAGACACCCTCAGTCAATGACAGGTGGGGATTATCCAGTGACGGATGAAGAGCTTCCTCACCCCTTTGATTAGGATAACTCTGAGATGTGTTCTGTGCTGTCTCCCAGAGTTCCTCAGCAGTATTGGGGTACAGGGGTAACTGGCTGGATAACACACCATTTATTGGCTTTCTTCCCATCACTATAATATCTTATTCTTCTATCCCTGTTCCACTATTCATTAGATCGCCTCCTAAATAAACTATTTGCATGTAAATCTCTGTCCCAGGGATTATTTCAGGTGGGGGGTGGAAGTGTAGGAGGAATCCATACTTAAACAGGTACTGAGGATATATACGAGGCATCATAGGTTTGGAGTCAGATAGATCTGGATTCAGATTCTTTCTCACCAGTGACATTGAACAACTTAATTTATCTAAGATTGTTTCTTAGAGATGACACTGATTTCATAATGGAGACAATGACTTCATCAGGTCATATTGTAAGGGACAATTTGAGAATGTATATAAAGCACTGTGCTCAGTGCCTTATACAAGGTAAGTGCTTAATAAATGTTGGCTATTATCATTAATACAGTGTTTGTAATATGGTTAATACAGCATAACTCAGAGGGCAAAGCACAAAGCTGTTTTCCATCCTTGGCGTGACTGCAGGTTGATTTAGCAGGTGTGCTATAAATACTCCGTCCCTGGTGAGCACCTGTGGCATAGCAGTGTCAATAGCTTGGAGCAAGCATTTCCAGGGCAGG